ATTCCATCCAACTTGTGGGTTGCATTTTTGATTGTTGTGGAAGGTGTTAGTTGTTGCTGAGTAACTGCTACATGGTCTCTATGCTAGTCTCTGTCCAACAGAGGTATATAATGCTGTCACATCAAAGGATACCATTATTTCTTGGTCATCTATTTGAATGCCTCTGATTTTCTCTAGAAATCGGATAGCAGATTTGACGGAGTGATCGCAGGAATCCATTAGGTGTATCAATTTTGTGCATAGTTTTTTTTTGACAAATTGTACACTGAGGTTCCTGGGAGTGATACAGTTGGTCGAAACGGGATATTCGGTGTGTGTATTTGTGGCCTGCATTAGAATCGGGGTAGGACTAGTCCATTGGATTTCATTCGCCATTGGTCTTGTTTTGTGATCTGACCTGTTTTGATGAGCTTGTTTAAAGTTCTTTGGATGCGGCTGTCTAATGTTTGTATGGGATTTGTTGTGAGTTGTTGATGTACATCCTCATCTTTGAGCGGTTCTTCAGCCTTCTCGGTGTATTCTTCTTTGTCTACGACTAATGTGGTTATTCATTTGTCAGCTAGTAGAATGACGATGTCCTTCCTATTTTTTCAGCTTTTTGAGGGTCTTTAGTTCTTGGGAGTTGAGTTGTGTGCGTTGTTTTTTCTGTTTGACCATTGGTACGATTGTTTGGCGTATCTCTTCTTGTGTTTCCTCGTTTAAATTTGATGATTTGAGTCATGATTCAAGGGTAGCGAAGAAATCAGTTTTTGAAGCGTCTTCAGTGTTGTAGTTTAATTCTTTTTGTAGTAGTAGAGATGACTAATAAACTCATGGAAAAATCTAAAAGCTCACTTCAACAAATTGAAGTATGCGCTGAAGATGTCGCCTAGTGGGTAAATGAAAGCTTCGCCAGCTCAGAGAACACAACGACATCAAAATATATTAGAATCACCATTTCCAAATATCTTCGGTATTGTGCGACTTTGTCTTCTGTATGGTGCTTCCTTGTCTTCCTCTCATGTATTTCATGTTGTTTCACAAGCATTTTTCATTAAATCCATCTCTCCGCTATTCGATATTCTCGCAGCTGATATACGTATTTACATTTGCATATATATACTACTTATAAATCTTGCTAGTAGTACAAGCTACAATGGAATAATAAAAATGCTTAACTGCTAGATAAGTCCCTAGATATTTTTCACTCGTGAACATTAAATAAAATTTTAGACACGTGGGCCGCTAAATTTCGACTGCATGACTGGATGAAACCTTTGTAACCTTTGAAAATCTCGAGTTCAGGAAATGGGATGATAAAAAACTAAGTGTGTACTGTAACCTAACTCAAATGTACCTATGTAACATGAACCAGCAAACAGTTTGTGAGTCACATCAGGAAAACAAATACATATATATATATATGTAATATATCTTCAGGACTGATACTGTTGGTCCAAGATGTATGCTTATCTGGTTAAAGATGGTGCATGAACAAACGAAGGTAATATGACAGTGTACCGAATGACGTTGCCTACTCAGAACTGAAGAAGAAAGTCCACATTGTCCTACTTGCTACCATGTAATCCCTCTCCTGTTTACTCTTTTGTACTTAGACCCCAAATAGCATTATGGTTCTTGTAGGACACACTTGGTTGAGGAGATCACTAAGTCAACCATAGACCTCATCTACAGTTACGTCAGAACTGTAGTGCGTTGGTATGTGTGGGCACAGATATCGGACAGACAACACGTTTCTTGCCAGCTTTTTCCTGGTCTGATCTAACAGCACATAAATATCTGTTTATAGGAATCCATTCGTGTGGTACAACTCTTACCCTAGCTTTTAATGCGATAACAAAACTAGCTAAGCCATAAACCAGTTCTACGGTGTTCTTTGATAAGAAGCCCATGAAATGTCCTTTTTGACATATTGGGAAGTTATTCGAAGCACTTCACTTGGATGTGTCCCTAAGGTGAAGCAGGACTTTCAAGATTCTGACTATTATGTCTTAGTATCTAATCTGTGTGAACACTGTACCTAGAAAAGGTTTTTTAGAGTACAAAATGCCAGAGCAGCAGCGTATGAATTCGTACTGGAGACGAGCACTTTATAGGTAAAGAACAGCAGCATGTCTAGTTTAATGATAGACAGTTACATCATTATGCTATGAGTCACCGATTCAGACGGAGGTCAAAGGAAGTTCACCACCCCTCCTGGAACACCTAAGTCTATCCCAAACATGTTTTTTATTCATGCATCTGTGCTATCTGATGATTTAGTTTGCCTTAAAAGACTGATTATTGATGAGGCCTTTGCGGAAATAGAAATGGCTGGTTTGGAGTATGTACATGAACACTGACAAGATATCCGGTCGTCTATAATGGTGGCACTATCCAGCATTTCACTTCATCCTACCTGTGTTATGTACGTCGAGTTCCCTCTTAATCAGTAATACTAGCTACTGTGATGTAAAAGAGTTCAAGGTGGTCATATCAGTCTTATTATTAATCTATATATTTACAGATATAAGCTCTTTAAGAAACAATAATAATTTGTTTTATTCCAAAACAGTACTTGTGATACAGAATGGAATTCTCAGCATTTTTACTACAGTATTGCATCCAGTTAGTACATTATCAATAAATAGAATTCTACGCAGATTAAGGAAATCTCAGTTCATTATTACAACAACACATTGGTATGTCGGTAGCAAAGGTAAAGCTGAACAGTGTTTGAAGGTGTTAGAAAAGTAGGTGCTATCGTATTTACTGGCGTAAGCGGAAGAAAGAAACAAAGTAGCACGTAACGGAAAAAGAGAGAGAGAGAATAGGAAAAGAAAGAAAGAGAATGTTGTACCTATAAATGATATGAGTTGGAAAGACGAGGTCCAGTTGTACTACTGACTATTTAACGAATTATAAGTGTCACGCCTAATGCTTTCTTTATCGCACAGAACATGAGCTAAGTAGGGTATGGTTGAGTTTTGTACTTGCTGGTGCGAGCATATAGTTTTCTATATAGGTCTCTGACTTTGCGTGATGAGATGCAAGGGGAGAGTTGTGAGTAAAGAGGTTGGTGTGAGTTAGATAAAATGCATTTGGCCCATTTTTCACATGAGTCCATGTGCCTGTCAACCAGAATACTAACAAGCTGGTTAAGTGGCACGTTGCTTACCCTGCTGACAACCTTTAACATCTTGCGTAATATGCTATAGTCCTTCTTAAGTAGCCCTGGAAAAACTAAGGGGGGAGAATAGAGAATAATAGGCAGAATGCGAGAGTTAACGAATTGTAGGAGTAAGGGTTGGGTTATACCAGAATGTTTTAATTTCTTGATGTAGAAGGTAAGACGGAATATTTTCTTAGAAATCGCCAAGATATGAGACGACCAGGAAAGATCAACAGATAGAATGACGCCTAGGTATTTAATTTCCTACTTGGTTTCTATTTCAGTGCCATTTATGTTGCACACCTCGTGAGAGCCAACCAGTTTGTTTAGGTCGGATTTATGCCTAAAGGTGAAATTGACTGTTTGGCATTTGGAGGGGTTTAAGGTAAGACCGTTTTCCTTGGACCACTGGCTGAACGTATAGTTTACCCAGTTAGCCTGGATATCATGATGAATGAACCGGAAGTACTTGGTGTTTTTAATAGCAGCTCCTGACAGTTCTCTTGTCTTCATTACATTATTCTCTTTCATACATGATTTTCTATTCCGTTCGTTTTATGTATTGTTTTGAGGAGTGGCCAAATAAATCTGTGTACTACCTCATTCAACAGCTAGTTATATGACAATGCAACGTGTCAGGTGATCCACAACGGAAAACTCAGCGAGGCGCTCGAAGTGCATACAGGAGTAAGACAAGCCTGGCTGCCTATTACAACCGATGATATTCTTAATTGTGGTGGACTGGATTTTGCGTCAGGCTGTGCGTGGGGATCGAGATGACAGAAATATGTTGGTCCGATAAGAAGACTCTAGAAGATCTGAATTCCGCATGTGGATGATTTATGTCTAATGTCACACAAACTAGAAGACTTACAGGCGAAAACCATCAAAATGGCAGGAGAGGCAGGCAGCAAAGAGTGGGCTCCAGGTAAACATAGAGAAGATGGAGGTGAAGACAACCAACGAACCGCAACAACAACCAGCACGTCACCATCAACGGAAGCATGGTTCCCACCGCAGGTCGCGGGAACGTATGAAGATGTCAAATCAGGCCAGAATCAAGAAGACTAGGTAAGATACGCCTTCATCAACCTGGAACCATTTTGAGAATTTTCTGTACTCAGTCAAAATGAAGAAAAACATTCGAATTTTCAACATCAATGTCAAATCGGTCAGTTCTTCTATACCGGTTGGAAACTTGACCAGTATGTGACGAGAAGGATTTCCAACAGGTTGAAGACTTTTATCAACAGCTACCACTATTCGCTGGCTCCATACTGAAGATCAAATGGACAACCGGCAGGCCAGAAAGAATTAGTAACAATAAATTCTGGCTGGGAACTAACCAACAGGTGAGGGGCCGATCGCTCAACAAAAATTTATGGGAAAATGAAGGTGGATCGGGCATACATTGAGGGAACGGTGGATGACATCGCGGACCAGCCAGGTCATTGCTCGAGTGGAGTCCAAATGAGAAGCAACGAGTGGGTCGTCGGTGTGAGGGTTACATGGAGGAGATCGTGTGAAGAAGAGATGAGAGATTATGTGCAATCGTGGACTCAATTGAAGAGGTTGGCAGAAAATAGAAGAAAGTGGAGATGTGTTGTTGAATCCCTATGTTCCAATCGGAACCCAAGGGAATTAAAAATAATAATGTAATACTTCTACGCCAATTTATTTGGGATTATATACAATCTCATATCAGAATACGCTTAATCTTATTAGTATTTTAGTATTTATTGATTAGTTTTTAAAAATTTATCTTAACGCTTGATCGATAAGGTCATATGTAGATCATAAAACAAATTAATTATCTAATATTATCGTTGGATTTTAACTGCTCACTTCTGAAATGTCTGATAAACAAGGTTCTAATCCAAATTCAAGAACTCCATCACCAACAAAACTTTATTATTACACAGATAATGAAGGATGGACTGAACTAGATCCAAATATACCGTTGTCACAACAACCTATCGGTGGAACATGGGTATCAGTTGAAGAGGATACAGATGGACATGGGAACAGGCGTGCTATGCATATAAAAACCTCTGTAAAACATGGTAATTTTCAATATGTTTTGTTGAATTAATTTAATTAGTTTTTATCAGTATGATTAAGAATTAAATTAATTGTAATTAAGGTTGCTGTCGTCTTATTTTTCGGGTAGAAAAAAATATACTGTTTTGAATGGAAAGCGCTCCACTACTTTGCCAAGGAAAACTGGTGTGCCTCAAGGCGCTGTACTCTCTCCATCCCCTTTTCCTTTCTTTTTGCAATGACCTTCCATATTCTCCCAAAGCTAACTTCATTAAATATGCTGATGATCTGACCATTTCTGTCCCAATAATTTTCTGAATCAGAATATTCTTACATGAATAGATTCTTATCTGAAGTTAACAAGTAGTCTCACCTGAAGGGTCTTAAACTAAAGCCATCTAAATGTCATATTGTTGATTGTTGTTACGTATGCCTAGTCATCGCCTTCCTCGACCAACGGGCAATGTTAGCTGATATAGTGTCAGGCTGGAAAAGAGCTAGCGGCGGTCAAACCGAAACATGGTACCAGTCAGTGAAATCTACAACAGTTAGTCTAGGCCACGTAGGAAGGTGTAGATTTCCTGGTTGGGGTCGTTGGGACGGTAAAACCAATGGTTGGAAACAATTGGTGACATGGCTCAAAATCGTTCTCAGTGGCTGGCGCAGATGCATCCAATCCTTGTGACTTATGATTTCCAATGAAACTATATTGTTCTTTCGTTATTACTATTCCTTTGTCTCACACCTCTGTTTACTGTCTCTATTATGCATTTCTCCTACTTTCTTCTCTTGCTTTGTGTGCTACATGAAGGGAGTGTGGCGACTTGAACTGCCGCACATCGGTGCAAAGTTCTATGTCGAAAACAGACAGACAGATATTGTTGATTTTAGTTTCAGATGTGAACAAGACTTGCGTGGACTGTAATATCGATGGCACTGTGGTAGGGAGTATACGAATATCTCTCATCTCGGCAGCAGTTTCTTTTCGAATCTCTGTTTGTCGTCTCATATCCTGTTGATTTCTAATGAGATTTTTCGTTTGATTTATTACATGAAGAAGTTGAGACTTTCAGTTGGCATAACTCAACGTCTTCTCTTATAGTTTGTTAATTCATGTATTCTGTCCATTCTCCTTTATTGTTCACCATTATTCTTCCCTGGACTTCTTAAAAAGAGACTATGTCATATTACGTAGGACACTGAAGACTGTAAGTAGGGTTAATAGTGTGCCTTTGAATCAGCTAACTGACATTATTGTCAATAGGCACTTCAATTCTCGCAAGCAGTTGGCTAAAGTTATCTTGTCTGATACTGAACATCCTCTTTGTGATTCTCAACTTTCTCCTTGCATCTCTTCAAGGGTAAAACCAGAAGAAACATCATAAGAATTCACACTAATACAGCAAAATATAAAAAAATCAATCATGCCATATTTATCATGAGTTTTGTATGAAGAGTCAGATGTCAGAAAAGAACCTATAAACTTTTTGAATCAGTAGTCTGAACTGCAAAGTGAGAATAAGCAAAGATTATTATTATTACATGTAGAATCCATGATATTATCTGATAATATTAGATGATTGGAGTCACAGACGTTACCACTAAGCTATTCGGGCTCGTTTCTGACTGCAGCACTGGGTGACGCGGGTTCGAATCTCAGAAGGGACATTAGTTCCTTGAAGGTCTCAGATACGCCTTGCTGACTGGTGAGTGCCAACTAGCACGAAACCTAGGTCAAGCAAGGCTTCCTTTGGCCGATTACCTCCAACCACCTAATATCATCAAATCAATGTGCACCGTGACGGCGAGCTACCTAGAATGGTGGCCACATTGCAAACCTGACTGATAGAATTCAGTCTGCACCAAAGAAAGGACTAGACTTACATCACACTAGTTACTAGTGTCCAATCAAAGAATGACATTATCTACTTATGCTTCATTATTTTTCCACCAAAATTCAGTTTTTTGTGGTTTTATTATAATTTTTTTAAAATTCCATGTGTGTACTAATTTATAAGAGGAGCTAAATTGTTGCAATATGTATAAAAACTCTGAAAATTCTATTCTGTATAATTATTATTGTTGTTTGGAATAAAGTGATTACTGTTATTATATTATTAAGGAAACTGGTTAAATTCTTTGATCATAAATAGGCATGACTGTTTCTGTTATATTATCACTGAAGGCGCTATTACCCTCCTCCCCCCCCCCCAAAAAAAACTGGTTGATATTTATAAATTTGGTTTGCCGACATGTGACACAGTTGACGATTGGATACGCGTGTTTATACAACAAGAAGTGAAATAAACAAATTTCAACATTCATTCACTCCTTCTGTATATGTCAGAAACTTGGCCGACGCGTCACCAAAGGCATTTCAACAGACCGCTCTGAACTTTTGTTAACAGCTGCCACTATTCGCTGACTCCATATTGAAGATCAAATGGCAACAAGAAACTCTGGGAGCAAATGAGTCAAAAACCTATTGCTCAACAAATATGAAAAAATAGAGCTGAATCGGGCACACGCTGAGGAGACTGTCAAATGATATTGGGCATCAGGTCCTCGAGTGGTGCCGAAATGGGAAACGTCGAGTTGTCCTTGTATTCGAGGGTGACATAGAGGAGATTGTGTGAAGAGGACACGATAGAGATGTTCTATTGAAGCCCTGCGTCCACTTGGAACCCAAGGGAATAATATGATGATAAAAAATACCAGGATGGTTGATTACAAATCGACCTAGTGTTCCTAAACGACTTATGGATAGACTTGAATGACAGTGAATTTATTCAGAGTTTGATGTAATACTTTTGCCGTTAACTTGTGTTGGTGTAACGTTTGTTGTACAAAGTTTTTGTCTTGTGCGTGTGTGTGCGCGCCCCAAAACGAATAGATTTTCATGGTATAATTATATGTTGGTTTTGTCTGTCTTAGTACTTTGAGTTCTATCTACTGACTCAATGAATCATATTAGAGTTGCACACTGTAATTTTCATTTAATTATTCTTTCTGCACACATTCGTCCTTTGTAGTTTAAAAAATATTTCTATAGTTCAATTTTTTGTGTACTTTTCGGAAGTGGGACAGACTGAATTGACACACCTTTTCTATCAAGATCTACGCTGATAAATCAGTCAGTCACTGAGCCATTATAATATCCATCTAGTTACATGTAAGGACATCAAGGTATGCTGTAAATAAATGATAATTATTATCGTTCCCTTGAACTTAAACTGCAGATCTCCACTTTGTCCTTTTCTCTGCGAACCTTTTTAGTTGGCCCCAGGATTGTTCGTAGGTTTTCATTTTATCCTCACATGATCCCTTCCATGTCTCCATTTCTTATTTGGGTTCCGCTCGAGTGATGACCTGGCGAGCATTGTCACCTGGTCTCCTCAGAATGTGTCACTCCATATCCATTTTTTTTGGTATATTCGTTGAACAATAATCTTTTGATTAGTCCATTACCACAGTTCCTTGTAGCTAATTCTTTCTGGCTGGCCATCTGATTTTAAGTAGGGAGACCGCCAAGACAGCTGTTAACAGGAGTCTACAGTGACCTGTTAGAAATGCTTTTGGTGACGAGTTCATCAAGTTTCTCACCCATAGAGAAGTGACTGACTTAACATTGGTGGTGAAAATTCGAATTTTTTTCTTTATGATGAGTGGAGTAGACATCCAAACTGATTTCAGAGTGATGAAGGTGTGCCATGCCTTTCCGATGCTGGTTGGTTCTGGTAGCCTCATCAGTGCTGTCCCCCATTGTTGAAATAATATTGCCTAGATAAGCGAAATAAGTGACCTCTTTCAAATTTCTTCCGTTGATAGTGATTGGTGTTTGCTGTTCTTTGTCCTCTCAATCTTCTCCTGGAGTCTTGCCTTTTCTGCAAGCCTCTTCTACCAAATTGTTGATTTTCGCTTGTAAGTATTCACGTTTATATGACATGAGACATAAATCGTCCGTCAAGTCTTCTTATCGATCGAGTGTATCCCTATCTTCTCCCTCCCACGCACAGTCTCCCTCATGATCCAGTCCACTAAAGTCATGAGTATCATCGATGATAATCGGCAGTCTTATCATACTCCTGTCTTTACTTCAAAGGTGTTTCTAATTTTTCCATTGACAGTCATTTGACGTGTGATATCATCAGATAATTTATGAAGACTATTTCTCGCATATCATTTAGTCAGTTATTTATATATTTCCCATACATTTTACTAAAAAAAACACTTCAAATAATATTGTTCTTGAGACTTTTAATAATAATAGTAGCTTTCTTTGAAACAGTATTTGGGTACAAATACAGAATTTTCAGCATGTAGTACAGTATTACATCTAATTTTCTCATTACCGGGGTAATAATTTAAAACAGGGCATTTATATTGATAATATTGTTCAATATGAATATAAAATTAAGTGAGAATATTGACAACAGTATAATAATAAGAAAAAAGAAAAAAGAGGGCCGTTTACATAGTGTTACACAGTAAGTTGGTAGTGTCCTGCCTAACACAATTTTCTCATCATATAAAATGGATGCTAGCCAAATAGAGTATTGTTAAGTTTCGGTAATTAGTCATCCGAACATAACGTCTTCTATAATTGCTTCTAGTTCCACCTGATGAGATTGATCCAAGGAGAGAGAGAGAGAGAGTTGTGCATAGAGAGGAAGCTCAGGGTCTGACAATATAGTATTCGCTAATTACTTGCATGAGTTCAAGTATCTATCTATAACAGTATCAACAGGTTGGTCTAGCGAGACTCCACTCACCTTACTGACAACTTTTCCTGCCCTACGCACTATAACAAAGTCTATCTTAAGTAGTCCAGGAAAGAGTAAGAGACGAGGGGCAAAAAGAAGAATAGGAGAATACAAGAATTAAACAACTGTAAAAGTAGAGACTGACTAAGGGATACCAGATTGTCTTCACTTCCTTAAGTAGAACGTCGAACGAAATATCATCCTAGAAACTAACATGATATTGGAAGATGAGGAAAGATTAAAGGAAATACACAATCTAAGGTATTTAACATTCGACTTAGTTTCAACTTCAGTGCCATCTATGAAACTAGATTCATTGGAATGAATCAGTTCATGTAATTCGCTCTTGCATGTCTGAAACTGAAATTAACAACCTGATATTTGGACTAGTACCATCTGACAAGGACCACTGACTAATTTCTGATAAAAAGTTATTCATTCTTGGAACAATCTGATTGGGAAGTAATTGGCATAGAAACAGTCAGATCACCAGGATACTTAACAAAATTGGCTTCATCAGACTGAGGCAAGTCACGTAAGAAGAAAGAAAACAGAAAAAGGAGAAAGAACAGCACCTTGAGTAACACCAACTAGAGTAAGTAAAGCACTGGAAGACTTCCTACTGTAGACAGTGTACTGCTTCCTATAAGGAAATTAACAGTGTAATCATTAATTAATCCAGCATCCTGTTTGTGTCTCAACAAGCTTTCCACTACAAAGTGTAATTTACATCAAAAACATCCACCTGTGCTAAAAAACTTCTCCAATTATTACAAATGAGATTTTCACGAGAATTTATGCTTAACTAAGGGTAAATTTATTTTATCAGTATTTATAATTCCGTAAATGTCTGGAAACTATGATCTACATAAAGATGTGCTAAAATTACCGGTAATATTGTAACGACAGAAGACAAGGGCCAGGCAACAGATTGTTTATTGAGAAAATCAAGAGGTGTTTATAGATTTTTATGTACATTATTGTCAGCGGAGAAGCAACGTCTTCTGATTGGTTTTTCTTGCTGAAGGTTATTCTGTACTGCTTGTGACCGTTTCTCAGAAGTTAAGCCATATATCTGCGAATCGTATTTGCACACGTTAAGTCTGCTGTGATTGGTTGTTGAGTTCCTAAAGGTTAGGCGTTGTTATTGTTTCTTCTCATGACCCCGATTCTGGACGTAAACATTGACGTAAATTGTTGTCTACAATTTTGGCTTGCAGACATCTCTCACCACAATACTACTATTAATCTGTCGCAAAATTTCTGAAAAAAACATGAGTCTGATTGTAAGATTTTGTAGCTTTGCAGTTTTTGTTCTCTTATGAAGAGAATGTTTTCCTTTCATCCTTTTCGTTAGTGAAGCTGAAGAATTATATGTGTAATAGAAGAGTTTATTAACACATGAGCTTTGAATGAACATATAATATAGTCTGTCTTATTGAGTTTGCTAATATGTCTCAATTTTGAGAGTTAGAAGACTCAATAGGATAAATATTAAGTGTAGTGTGTCACAGTGTCATGGAAATTAATGCATTATTTAGTCCGACAAACTTTATCTAACCAAACAGAAGAACAAGCGTGAATAATGTATGTATAACCTTGTATAAGTATACATCAGTTCGAGGCAATCAGCCAGGAAGCCTTGCTTGACCTAGGTTTCGTGCTAGTTGGCACTCACCAGTCAGCAAGGTGTATCTGCACTCTTGAAGGAATTCATATTCCCACCGTGATGGTGAGTCACCTAGCATGATGGCCACATTCACAACTTGACTGATCGAATTCATTCTGTACCAAAGACAGGATTAAACATATTACACTAGTTTTACTGACTAGTGTCTTATCAAGAATACATCAGTACTGCTTGGCTGCAGTACTAATCAATGTGTAGCTAAATGTGTCCAGATTCTACTTTATTAATGAATAGTAATAATAACAGTTCCCAAGTGTTGGTTTGTAGAGATTTGATTGCTTACAGGATTTGATCATGGGCTGACATTAGTTAGAGAACCATTGGAAAACCTGGGAGTACTGGACAGCTGTTTCGCCGAAGACACTGGCTAGGGTTCGCGCTATGTCGTGAATTGGCAGAAGTTAGAATTCATGTGCTGGTCATAGGACTGGGTCCCAGTGGCTTAATGGTCTACGAGCTCGCCTTGTAACCAGAAGGTCCTGAGTTCGAACCCCGGTGAGTCCCGAACTAGGACGAAACAGCTGTCCAGGTTTTCCGATGGTTCTCTAACCAATCTCAGCTCACGATGAAATCCAATTCTGAACAGTATTTGTAGAAGATTATAAGTTTCCAGACCGTAGATGTTACGAATTTCCTAGAGTAATTTGTATAATCTATAGAATTTTCAACAGAAATCATTGCATAATATAGTTTATCTCTTTGTCCATGATATTCAAGTAAAATAGTAACTGACAATAAATCGTGTGACACATTACTGTCTCACCTAAAGCGAAAACCAATCCCTCATGTGATATTTCTTCTTTGTCTCCTTCCTTAGAGAAATGCACAAATTTGGTTAAAAGCTATTTGAGAAAGGTGTATATAATAGCTGATTAATTGAAGATAGTAGGTAATTAGTTTTATTCCTCAGGCAGTGAGTGGCATTCTGTACTGCAAATCTCAGGAACAGTGATCTCATGTAATAGGATACGTCGTCACCTACGAGTTTGCTTTTTCTCAAGTTTCTGCTAAACTTACGAAACAGCAGATTGTAGACAATTTAAATACTGGCGAGAGTGGAAAATAACACTCAAGGTCATATTTTAATAAATTAAAACAAAATGAACTGGAGAAATTATATGAAATATAATGATAGAGCATTCTGGTAGCCCAGGTTTTAAACAGGCCGTCCGTGTCCAATTCTATGTTTTCAAGTAGCCTAATCTATTTAATGTCATCTGTTTACCTCAAATTCATAAAATGATACTGATACTTGTAAAAAGTTGAAAACGTTGTTTTAATCTTTCCGCCAAAATTTGAATCTATTTTATACCACAATAATAGAATCTTATTTTGGTTTTTTGTGAATAAAATTTTTATTTTTCTCTCTTTTAGACATGAATAAACCTGTTCGTCAACAAGGTGTTATGGTGACGACAAATTTAACACCAGAAGACAGTTCTGGTCAACAATCACCAGTACAAGCGATTGTCTTTCAAACTAATCAACCGCTGACTAAGATTACTATTCCAACAGACGTACAAATATGTCCACAAGGATCAGATAATCCAGTCAAAACAATTGGTGAATTACTCTCATCTCATCCAATACCTGGTAAAAAACCGTCATCAAATGAACCAACATCAACAAATCAGAATTTTCATGAGGATAACAATGACAGTCATACAAACTGTAATAATAATATAATAATAATGATATAATTCTTATGGAGGGAAGACTATCAGGAGTGCTGGACACAAATAATTCTAACTGTTCTGTGTATCCAGTGTTGTGTCAAGTCAACTGTAATCATCATCTAATGAATAGTCGACCTATATATCATCATCATCAACATCATCGTGTGAATAACAATGTCAAACAACGCCAGTGTAATACAACCTTCAATTGTTCTTCACATCCTGTATTCAATAATAATGGTGATTCAACTCAAGTATTACAATCAGAAACAGTAGACCGGAATCCTGTGAAACCATTTTTAATAACTTCTGCAAGACAAAGAAATCAAATTGGAAGAAAAAGATCCTACTTCAAGTCGAGTAGAATACAACAACAAAAGAAGAAGAAGGTAGGCAGGAGAATGCCTTCAACAACTGTCGACCGTTTATACCATCTGATAACTGCAAGCATAACGCAACACACAGCATACAGAGAATGTGAATATAATCCACATTCATTCTGTTGTCGTCCATCTCAACGACAAATAGAACAACCATTGTTACATCAACAGTGTAATTTTACAGCGCCAATAATTCAGAGCATCCCATTGGACCGGATCAGTGAACAAGCGTGCAACTGTCATTGTTATCATCATAACTGTTGTAATTGTCAATATTCTTATCCTCAATTCAATGACCAACATCAGAAATGCTATGGATATCAAGAAAGACATAACAATTCATATCATAAGAAAAGTATTAGTATTAGTAGTAGTAGTAGTAATAGTAGTATAATTAGTAATGGCAACACTTTATCCATGAATGGCAGTGACAATAGCAGCGCAAACAGTGTAACAAGTGATGACAGCGGTAATCGTAGTAATAATAGTTATACTAAATCAGTTAGAAATAAAAATGCTCAAATTAATTTACGCCTAGTCGGTAGTAGTAGTAGTAAGCAATCAGATCGGCAAAATTATCCAATGAAATTTATTAAACAATTAGTTAGAAATTGTAATTCTGATCATATTCCTATTGTATTAAATGTGAATGTACCAAAAACTAAGTCAAATTACTCGAAAATGTCTAAAAACCCGCCCAAGGACACTGATGATAATGATGATGGTAATAATTATGAGAGGAAAAAACAATCAACCAAAAGATTACAACAAACTGAATGCATAAAGGTGAACAGGTTAGCTAAAGATTCACCGAAAGAAATGAATCAGTCCAAGAAGAATCCACAATATTCACCAACCGCTTATGCTAAAGAATCACCTCACTGCAAAGTAACTAAACATAAAGGCAAATTGAGTAGATTACCTTCTGACACTGATGATAAAGACGATAGCCAGTCTTCTCGTCAAAAGAATTATTCTAAGCTATTCAAGAATTTAAAATGTAAAAAATCTGTTAATAGTCAAACTAAGCAAACAAAGCCTCATAAAATTCATTCTAGTGACGCTGAAGACATGTTGATGAATGAGAAGAGCGTAGATGAAATGACAGAGACTAGTGAATCAGACAGAATTCCTGTGAAATTAAATAATAGTAAAACAGTTAAACCACAGGATGAATACAACTCATCAAAAGATAATTATATTCGTAGACCTACTAGTTCAACTGGTATAAAACAAAGTCCCAAACTGGATGCTTTGATAAAATCTTCCAAAAAAGACAAGAATATTGATATGTATTGTAAAATTACACCGTCAAAGCAATCTGGCATGTCAAATCAATTGCCGAAACATATTCTATGCAAAATTAAGTGTAATAAACATTCACCATTATTATCGTCGTCACCACAACCGCACAACCATCACCAGCACAGGGGAATCAATCACCCAGATTATTTGGTTTAATAGATTTCAACAAGTGTGAAAATCAGACAAGAACAAGTCGAAGATTAAATTGTCTTATTGATGAAGATCCACATGATGGAGATAGTAAAGCCAGGGGAGAATATTATGCCTCAACTGATGAAACTAGACGTTCATCAACTCAACAATCAAGTGGTAGTGATTCAAGAGATTCAATTCTCACTTGTTTTGTTAAAGCAGCATCAAAGCATGTAGAAAATGAAATTGATAATAATATGCTGTTTAATAAATTCAAATTTATTTCAGATTCTGATGAACAATAGGAGATGTCATTTATCCATTTTGTTTTACTGTGTATTTGGACAGATAATATCTGGCGGTTTTTTTTAGTATTGTTTGTTTTAACTGACAGGATTTTGATGACATACAGTGAGAAGTGATGGAATCCACGACACTGTCATTTGAGTATGCATATATATATGCAATTTATTTATGGATATTTCAGTTAATTTATTTCGACCAAACTGTTTTCATCAAGTGACTTATTTCCTTTCTTTTTCAGTTAAAAAGGTCACAAAAATTTATTTATTTATTTACTTACAACCAATTTGTTTTGTTTTTCTTATTTTACTGTCTATTAGATTTTACAATCTGTAGGGTAAACAGTTCGACGAGGTGAAATTGTCACCACATTATTAAGATCATCACAAGATGTGATCTTCCTGATAATATAAATGGGTTGTCAGGATAACTAGAAAAAATATTTGCACAAAACGATATACTACTGAATAATTGAAATAAGTAGTTGCATACTAATCATATCACCGAGTAGTGCTTGCTTGCTGGCTAGCTAGATTGAGATGATCTAAACACTATATGGCTGTTTTGCTCGTTTCAGACCGATTTCATCAGTGGTGTATTTGGTTTTAACTCAGCTCAGAGAGCCGAATGAGTCTAAATCACCAAAAAATGCTGGTTCTCTTGAATACTACCTACCATTCATTGATGGTATCAAGCGGATCACATATTGTCAAATAATTCGCCTAAGCTATACATACAGCTTCAACAGAACATCTCCACTTCATCCTGCTCTCTGAGGTCCTCAGTAGCTGGCCCCATGTTTCTCTATAAACTCTCACCTTCCCTATGTCATCGTCCGAAACATGCCCAACTCGCTTCCCCTCCGGGTGCCACTTCAGAAATGGCCTGCGTTGAATGCAGTGTCATCCGACGGTCTCCTCACCGCGTCTAATCCATCTCCTTCTTCTTCTACATATTTGTTAAGCAACAGATTTTTTTTGGTTCATTCCCATAGTTTCTTGTTGCTGATTCTTTCTGGTTGGCCGGCCATCTGATCTTCAGTGTGAAGACATTGAAGATAACAGATTCTGATAGAAGTCTGCAGATGGCTGTTGCAAATACTTTTTGTAACGCACCAAGTATCCCAACCTTATAGAAGAAGTGTCTTGATATCAGTGTTGAAAAACCGAATTTTGTACTCTATGCTGAGGGCATCATATTTCTAAACTGATTTCAGAGTGACGAAGGTCTGATTGGCCAATACAAGAAGTGGTGCTGTATAATGTTATGAGTTTAGCTGTAGGGAAGCTTCTTTTTATTGCACCTTTCAGTCTTTTGTCAATCTTTTGTAACACTGCATCTCCTTTGAATAGGAGACAAACAAACACTTTTTTCTTTTCTACAGTTGGGTGTTTTTCCTTATTATCTTTTTCTCTGCTTTACCTTTGTATAAATCCCTTAGGGTATCCATTTTCTCTTGGGCATTTCTCGACGAAATCCAATTCTTCTTCGACCTTGTTTGGTGAACATAGCTTCCTGGCTCTATTGCAAAAAGTCCCCACTAATCCACGTTTATAGCTTATGGGACAAAAGCTGTTATAGTGAAGATATTGCCCAGTCCAGGTTTCTTTTCTATAGATGGACTTTTCGATCGTGCCTTCGTTTGTTCTTTGTACATTTAGATCCAGGAAATTGAACTCATTATTATGTTCATATTCCATGGTGAATTTGATGTTTGGATGGATCTCATTTAGGCGATCATATAATGCCGATGCGTGATCCATGTCGTTGCAAACAACAAATTTGTCATCAACATATCGGCGATAGTAGGTTGTTCCATCAGTTTTGTCTGTTATCAAATACATTTGCTAGAGAAAATCATTATTATCCGATTATGTTTTATTTTTATCCAGACTTCCTCTTTACTTTTCTTATTTTAATTTCTGTGTACAATATGCAACGTTATCTTGTTTCTCGTCATATTAAGAACGCCGACCGGAAATAGTTCTGGAAATTTCTCACTCTTTGTTACATATTCACGAACATACAGCCTAGTTAATGAATTCATCTAAAAGAAACAAAACCTTTCTTCACTGCAACCTTTTACTTTTCTTATAAAAACCATAAATACACTGTGCTTATCCACGCTAAAGGAGTGAAACAGACAAGAGTTTTGACCATTTCACTTGTTTGAGAATTCGCTTTTGCCCGTGTAGACTGGCTGACGATGAAATCTTATCATAAATACAAAAAGATCGTGTAACATTTGCTAACCCACGTCATATCTGGCGTAGACATGACATCCAGCTATCCACCAAAGGACATTTGCAATGCATAACAGTCCTCTCCGACTGCTGAAAGTGGAAGATATGAAAAGGTTAGCTGTTCCTGACTCTAGGTGTTCGGGTTCTATTTCCTACTTTAAGCACTACAATATTGTGAGTAATAAAGAGGTTAGGCGAACTTTGTTGAGTAAGGAAGCAGAGTCACCCAATGAGGTTGTGAATCTGCACTGATTGAGGGGACTAGGACGGGTGTTAAGCGTGCCTAGGCATCACATTCCACGTCAAGCAAAGTTAACTGATGTAAGATTAGGTTGAAAAAAGTAAAGAATGGTCAAACTAAGATCTGGTATCAACTTATGAAATCTTTGACAGTGGCTGGAGACTACTGATGATATGGTCGAAAACTGTTCTCAATGGTGCAGATGCATTCACTCCCTATTTTCCACTTGATCTATTAAATTCTCATTATTCTCTATATAATTATTGGTCCCCCAGCCGTGTGCATTTCCATTTGTTATAGTTCCGTTGTTTATTTTCTCTCTACCTTCAAACGAACATATAGAAGGTGGAGGTGATGAAAATAAACAATCACCAATCACTGCCAACGGGACCAGTTTGAAAGAGGTCACTTCCTTCAATTATCATCATCTCAGCTACAATCGACAGAGCAGATGAGGATGTCAAAATCAGAATCGGTAAGGCAAGATAGACCTATAAATTACTTTAGAAATCTTCTGCGCTCCTCAGCATAAAGGACTAAATTCGAATTTCCTCCACCAATGTTAAGTCAGTCACTTCTTCTATATGGGTCACAAACTTGGCTAGCGCATCACAAAAAGCATTCCTAACTGGCTACAGCAAAACTTTCGTCAACACCTACCTTCGCTCCATACTGAAGATCAAATCGCCAGAAAGAACTAACAACAAGAAAGTCTTGAAACAAACCACTCAAGAACCTATGGCTCAACAAGTATGCCCGTAGAAAATGGAGATGGATTAGACACGCTGAGGTAACCACCATCAGGCCATGGCTCGAGTGGAACCCGAATGGGAAACCACAAGATGAGAATTTGTCCGAGTGTGAAATGCAGGAGTTTGTGCAAGGTGGAGATAAGAGACTATGGGGGGATCGTGGGGCCAGCTGAAGAGGGCCTCGGGGGATTGGACAAAATGGATGTGTTCTGTTGAAGCCCCATGTTCCACTTGGAACTCAAGGGAACTATAATAATATACCTTTATAAGTGCTTTCATGAAGTTTGGCAACTTGAACTGCTGCACATTTGTGCAAAGGTCTACGTTGATGATTCAGACGAGTTTTCACTAATTTATTACTTATTTATAGGATAATAAACGATACAACAGGTAAACACTAATGGCAGATTACCTGTGCTTTCTTTTATCTAAAAGTAACCTGAATATATTTAAAATACCATAATATGAAGCCTGTGGAAGACTATTACATTTTTAAAATTTAATTAATAATTCAGAGCATTTTCTGTTTCTTCCTTTCCATATATACATGGAATATTCCCGATTATACTCAGAGGTCAGACTGAACTTTGAATGTAATCAGGAATTGTTTGGTGTGTGATTCTTGTGGACAGAGTTTTGGTTCGACCATTTTGCATATATTCTTCTAGATTCTCAGCTTATTCTAGCGGTTGAATTTTGGTTAACTAATTTTGTTTTACAGTACCCGTTTTCTACAACAGATGCCTAACAACACTGTTGAGGTCATTTTGAACTTTTGATGTATTATTATTGCTAAATAGAACCACATAGATCAGTCGACGAATAATTGTCTCTTTGGTGTCTTTGAAATGTTTTGTGACTGTGTGTCTCTCGAGGATGTTTTGGACAGCTGTACAGTAGGACTCAGAGGTCGGTTTCCTGTGTTCAGACTAAAATCAGTCGGTTTTGTTTGTTGCAGTATGGAGTATTGTACCAAGGTAGATGTCGATTGTCTATCGTCTCCTTCTGTACACAAAGATCTGGCTTCTTCAGTCAAATGATACATGTTTCCTTAAACACAAACAATTATTTGTTTCAAAAGAATGGTTACTGAACAAAGAGTACTCTTTTCGATAACTTCATCATCAGGCTCTACAGTTATACGTACATTATAGTGAATGAATGAATTAGTGTTATGAATAACATTAATGTTGTTTAAATAACATCAAATCAATAAAATTGATAGATTACAGCTGAATAGCATCAACATAAAATAAGCTGAATGTCAGAAAAATTAGGAAAGATAATATTACAAATTCATGAATTTATAGTCTCTACTGAAGGCTAGGGGAGTAGTGGGGGCTGGCTGGACTTGCTTCTTTTGAACACACAGCACTGGTTGTTTGAGGTGAATTGCAATAGCCTCTGCTGTTTGGAGCATGCGGTGCTTCGATGATTTTGGTAATTTATTAGTCGCCCGGTAGATTATGGAGAAGGATTCTTCAACGGTGGCTTTGTGGCCGGTTTGCACCAGATGGTCTGATATCGAACTGTTAATGGTTTTAACTGCACCTTTACTTAGCCACGGTGGGATATGTTCTCGAGCACGAAAAATCAAGTTTCGAGAGCAACGGCCGATATAACTCGCTCTACAAGCGCAGTTGCATTGGTAGATACAATTTGAAGTGGCTAGTCTGGGTACTTCATCTTTCAGTCGAGGTAGCACCATCAGCCGTGTAGAGAATAATACGTGTAGTTCGCCAGTATTAAAAGTTCTTTGAACTGAT